CCCCAAAACCCCAAAACCCCAAAACCCCAAAACCCCGCAATGATATTTTATAATCTGATTGATTTGCTGTTGTAATTATATTTAAAGCAAAATGAAGAATAGCCTATTACAGGAAATCAATGACTCTTATAATTAAACAAGAAACGATTTGTTTTCTAAGAACAGACAGAGTGCCTAGCAAAAGGATGACTTTACCCCAGAGATTCATTCACTAAGGCTTTCTAGTAAACCCAATTTGAAGTCAGAACTGAAATAAAAGATTAAGCATTTAAGTTATACAATAAACCACGATAACAGCACTATCTAAGCTAGCAAAATATCCATAATTGATGATAGTAGTAGCGTATAAAAACTTGGCTAAATAAAATAAGAGAAGATGAGTAGATCTGTAACACCCTAGAAAGGAACTAACAAAAGAAGCATGATCAGAGATGTATCAACTACTTAGAAGGAAACAAGTACAAATACTGGCACGATAAATGATGGAAACGGTATAGGTTTAAGGGATCTCTCTAAAACTGGGCTGGATTAGTACAATCAAAGCTTCTAAAAAGAAGATCTATATTCTTAAAAAGTCATGTCTAATGAAATCATGCCATTCATCATCAGAGATAATAGATCAATACCTACAATAAGAAATCCTAAGTTGCCTTCTATAATTAGTAATAGAAATAATCTACTTGGGCTGAGTAACTATCAAACTGTAAATGCCAGTAATTATGAGAGAAAATAAACTAAAAGCGGTTACGATGATGTCAAATAAAGTGCCATCAAGATGCTAAACTTGGACAAAGCAAACAAACTAGTAATATTATCCTTAAGTATTAATAATCCTCTATAGATGTAAAAATCCTACAGAGAAATAATGGATACTGTAAGACACTAAACAAAGAAATACAATTTAGATGAATCATTAGAAAACCTTCATAATGACTTCTCTACAAGTATCCATAATCAGTCTAGTCTTGAAAAGCTCGACTCGATTGCTGATGTAAGATATTTTTATTTATTCCAAATAGTCTCTCTAAAATTAGTAATTCTACAGCTTTCACAAGTAAATTAAGTAATTCCAAGAATATGAGAAGTAAAGCATTTAAAATCTTATTTATAATGTTTATAGTAAAAAGATAAAGGCTTTGACGATGTGACTCGATCAAAATGAAATTCAGATATAGAATCAATTTAATGATAAATAAGCAACTGATCCTAATTTTCAAACATCAAGCTAATAGTTTTACTTTACTATACTCTCTTAGTATTTCAATCAGGTTCTATTTAAAAACCCTAATATATTAGCTGAAACCTAAGGACTTTTAACAAGAATTCTAGACTAGATATAAAGCATTCAGAGCAAGTTATTTAAAGCTTTTGAGACTTAAAAAGACTAAGTAAACTAATAATTGATTTAAGCAAAACAAGAACTAGATTTAAAGGACAAAGAACTTTTAAGAATTAAAAGTTTACTGATCTCTGAATCCTAGCTTTTCAATAACGAGCAGAACTAAAAGGAACTTGAGAATGAAGTTCTTAACTTTCTTTAGTAAAACTAAATGACTTTGAAGTAGTCTCAAGAAACCAAAGAATAAATTAGGGAATAGCTGCAAAATCTACTCAAGGAAACTAATTACAGTGGGGCTTAGACGACACTCAAGGAAGTACATACATTCCTAAATATCTAAAAGAAATTTGCAATAGATGTACCAGTTGAAGCATCGATAGTAGGAGATAAGAGACAGATATTGGAGACGAATAATATCATGCTGAATGATCTGGCTAATGATTTAGATGTCAGGTTTAAAGACACTTAGAGGCAAACTGCAAAGAAGATACTTTAGAGATTTTTCAAAAAGAACCCCACAAGGGAAATAGAAGTACAAACTCAGAGTGAGGAACAGCTCATAGAGAATCTAAAGTCTCAGATGATATAGAAGGAGGAAATTATAAAAGTATAAAGAGAGGAGCTTGTGAATTAAACATTTCAAATTAAAAGTTTAGACAGTAAATTAAACCAGAAACTGGTTAAAGTTGAAACTCTTAATGGGGAAATTAAAAAACTCAATCGATAGATTGAAGACTTCCAAGAGGAGCAAGAAAGACTCTCAAAGGAGCTGTAGCATAAGCATAATAATCTTAAAGACAAAGAAGACGATGAGTATGAATTAAAAAAGAAGATAGATGAGTAAACTGATGATATCATGAGACTAGAAGAAATGGTGTTTAACTTTAGAAAATAACTGAGATTGATAGCTACTACAGGTGTTATACCTGTTGAATAAATAATGAGCGAGGAAGTGTAGCCAATAAAGCAACTGCCTAAATTCAATTAACCTTATCATAACAGATAATTTAGCAAAGCTAGTTAGCTCCAAGGAGTAAGTGATGGCAGCTATAATGATGAAGAATATGCTTCTGAGAGCGAGAGTTCTGCATATTTAGACAGAAAGAAAAAAGTAAATAAAAAGGCTGAATAAGAGAAAGTCAGAAGAGAATCCATTAGAAGGACGAAGGTCAAGCAAAATAAGCTTGCAGATAGTAGTATTGCTAGTGAAAGATTCAATTCATCTCTTGATTCTAGGTAAAACTAATATAGTTCTCAGGCTCAAGGCGAGAGTATGCCTTAGATTCATCTTACTAAATATCAAAGCTCAATGAATTAAACACAGCAAAATCAGGCCCTTGTTGTAAGAATAATTGATGAAAAGTAGCATTCTTTTTAGCCTCAAACTACTAATTCGATTAGCATTTAAAATCAACAGCAACCAAATCATCAATAGAATTCCTATAATAAAAGTCCATAATAAAGATAAGAGGTAAAACAGACTGTTTAAAATTCTAGCTTAAAGAAAGATAATATTTTGTAAAAAAATAGCTAGCCTCAATAGAAATTTAATAAATAAGCTCACTAAGGCAAGTCATAGCAGCCTGTTCAGAAGTAAAACAAATCATAAGCATTAGTTTAAGAAACTAATCCATAAAATCTGATCGAATAGGCATCATAATAGTAATAAGCATAAGTGAATGATTAGTTTGACTAGAATAAATAGGAAATCTTAATAATTTAAGAGCATAATAATCCAGATTAAACTATAATTATAGACAAACAATAAGAGAGGCAAAATAAATCAAAGCAAATCAAGAATAGAAACATTCTTACTAACTTAAATAACAGCATGGATTCAATTCTCTAGAATAACAATCATATGAATTTTGATGGTATCAATAATTAGTCGCATGATACTTTAAGAGAAAGAAGCAGAAATGTACAATATGAAGCACAATCAACTTTCAGCATCAGTGAAATGAATACGAAAACTTATAACAGTAGGCCGAAAGTTATTCTAAATTAAATCAGACATGAATTAGATCTTAGTGAGTTAAAGTTAGAACAGTTCCTACTCTCTAGAAAGAAGATTTACATTCAGAGTCAAAAGGATTAGTCAACTCAGTGTATACAACAAAATCTCAAGGCACTTACTTAAAAGACATCAGGAACCTAAACAAATATTACAGGCTAAGTTCATTAGAAAAAGCAGATGTAAAGCTAAGAAATCTAGGTGAATACACGAGAACTAGAACAATTAGAGAAAAGAGAGTTACTTTACATTTAAAACATTGAGAAGCTTTACGCTTCAATCAAGAAACCCTCAATGCAAGGGGATAGTTACTTCGCTGCAGGTGGTAGCTTCTCAACTCATTCAAAGCCTGCTCATGCTGAGTTTAATGGCCTAAATGAACATTCTATCCTGAGACCCACATAGGATTCAAATAATAAGAAAAAACTTAGTCTCAAGATTCAAGTTAAAAATGCTATCGGAGGTGGTGATGCATTCACCAAACTGGAAAGTGATCGCTTTAATAGAAAGGATAATAGCGTTGAACGGGCAAATAAATACCTAGATCATGATGATAATTTTTCAACACTAAAGTTACAATGATAAAAAATGTCAATAAATAGAGATACATTGATAAATGAGTTATATACATTAAGGAAATATTGATTGATTATTTTGAGAAAATTAATCTTAATTTAATAAATCCAAATCTAATGAAATAAAACTTAATGAGAATTTCAATGCCAATATTGTGTCATGAGTCATTCATGCTTAGAGAGTCTGGAGATTTTTTTTTCAAGATTTGTTAAAAATCTTCGCTCTGGAATCGTAGCAATTTCTTGCCTCAAACCATAAGGCTAGTTGAATATCTAAGACTTCTTTTATTTCTTTTTTTTTGCTTTATTCACAGCAATTTCTTCTTTAATTTGCTATTTGCCAACTGAGTCTACATTTATGCCTGATTCTAAGCATTTAATCTGATTTTGAATTTTGACTGGAACTTAGTTGGTGAGAATATCAAGGATTTCTTGGGAATTAAAGATCAGATCGCTTGAATTTTCATTAATATCATTCTTGGGAGTTTAATACAAGCTTTACTGTGATTAAATTTAATCACTGCTTTTGATGCATAATTGCACATTTTCAGTAAGAATGCAATCATGAGATAACTTTTAGTCTAAAAACTAGGACTTCAAATCGTCAATCATACCTTGAGATAGCAAACTGTTGGTATAGGTAAAAGTGTAAGAATTGAGGCCTAGTGTATCATTTACAGGAGAAAGATGAGATACTACAGATTTTTCTTGAATCTGGCTAAGCTCAACTTAGCCTTACTGACAAGAGATAAATTGTGGAATAACTTTGGGGTTTCTGTAAATCCTAACCACTTCATTCATTGAGTTCAAGCCTAGTTCTGATCTTAAGGCATTCTGCTATTGCTTGGGAAAGAAAGGAGGAGCATCAACATTCAATGAAGCTGTTTAGAGGGAATCATGAGCTTGTTCTTGAATGTTAAATCCATTAAGGCTTGAGTAGTATGCTAAATAAATATTTGGGAGATATAGTTAATTCATGAAACTTTAAAATAATAATTAAATAATTCAAAACGAAAATTTTCACTTCAAGGGGTTTTGGGGTTTTGGGGTTTTGGGG